GAGTTGTCATGGCTCCCTTGATGTCCGGAATTGATTAAAGATGTTTACCTTTCATGGTCCTTTTAACTTTGAAGAAGAGGTAGAGGTCTCACAGTGCCAGATCTGGTGAATAAGATGGATGAAGACACACTGCAATGTTTTTACAAGCCTGCCTTGCCCTTGCGTGGGTCTTGGCAGCAGCACTCACCATTGACTATATATATACATTTTTATCATGTTTGTAAAGGCACGAGACTTAAAGAACTGAAAGTTAGAAAGTTACAAGGACGATGGGATAAGTGTGTTCAAAGCAAAAAAGGGATTATTTTGAAGATTAATGGAAGTGTATCTTTTACTGTAAGAAAATTTAAAATTTAAATATTCACTGAATATTCTGATTACCCCTTGTGTGCTTTCCCCATTGACACACCTTGGCATTAGTTGAAAAACAGTTGCCCATTGATCCCCGGTACCGATAAAAATAAAAAAGACAAAAAAAAAAAACAAAAAACAAAAACCAGTTGCCCATATTGTGTCACTCTTATTCTGGACACTATTCTGTTCCAGTGACTAATACATGAACATTTCAACATTTACATCATTTGGGGATTAACTTCCATTAAGTATCTTTTCCTTTGAGAACGAGTTATATTATATCCTTCTAGGTTTTTTGTTTGTTTTGGATCAAACTCATGACCTTGTGCATGCCAGGCAGGCGCTTATCTCCTTCTAGTTCTTTATGTATTGAGTAATATGGTTTTGTGTCCTGAATTTTGTGAATGTTTCAGAGACTCTGGGCTCTGTAATATTCCTCTGAATATTCTATGAACTGTTTTTGTGTATCAGTACTTTTATTTTTAAAAAATTTTTTTATTTTTGGTACCAGAGATTGAACTCACGACAGCACACTTACAAGACAGGCGCTTTTGCTGCTGAGCTAAATGCTGTGTTTTGTTTGTTTTGTTTTTGTTGTTGGGTTTTTTTTTGGTGCTGAGGTTCGAACTCACAACATAGCGTTTGCAAGGCCAGGCACTCGGGCCACTGAGGTAAATCCCCAACCCCATGTGTTTCAGCACTTGTAAGTCTCAGTTGAATTCTTTGAGCCTTTGTTATGCTCCTTTGAGTCTGAATACAACGTTATCCAAGAGAATGACCTAAGATATGTTTGTTGTTCATTTAAAGAAAAGAATTCACCTTGTCTGCGTTCTGTACTGGGATTTTCTACTCATTTTGGTAACAGCTGTATTTGCCTATAAAATAATTTTTTTTTTTTGCCAGAAAGATACCAGGTTTTCTATTGGTGTTCTTTGTTTTTATAAAGAGGAGATTGTGCAGTGTTGCCATGCTGGCCTCAAACTCTTGAGCTCAATTGATACTCCTACCTTAGCCTCCCAAGAATCTAGAGTGCAGGTGTATGCCCTCTGCTTCTATCAGAATTCAGTGGTTTAAGTGTGCTATTTTGTGACTTATGATCATCATAGGGCAAAGCCCCTTAAAAACAGGAAACTGAAGCTGAATGTGGTGGTACATGCTTATAATCTCAGCACTCGGGAGGCTGAGGCAGGAGAATGGTTGCAAGTTTGAGACCAGGCTGGGATACAAAGTAAGCTCAGGGCCAGCTCAGGGTCTGCATAGCTAGACCTTGTCTCAGAAAGAAAAAAAAAGAAAGACAGACCAGAACAAAACAAAAAAGCAGGAAACTCTCCAATTCTTACACATTATTTTGACTAACCACCACAATCCGCTTGCTTCAGAATCCATAGGCAATTGTTCAGAATTTGTAGTTGTTTTCCATGTGAGTATAAAAGGAGTTTATGCAACAATAATTAAAATAGAATCATTAGTTGTATCACATTTTCCCTGTGTGTAATAAAGCTATTATGTCTTCTTGATAAGTTGTCCTATTTATTTATTTTTTGGTACTGGGAATCGAACTCAGGACCTTGTGCTTACCAGGCAGATGCTAGGTCACTGAGTTATATCCCTCGCCCAAATTGACCTTCTAAATATTATGAAATACCTGTCTGTATTCCTGTTAATATTCTTTGTTCTGAAATCTTTCTCTGATTTTAAAATATGACTACTAACAGCCATTTTTCAGCTTTACTTCGCTTTGCTTTGCTCGCTCTTTCTCCTCTTTTTTCTTTTCTTTTGCGATAGCTTCTTGCTACGTAGTTCTGACTGGCGTTGACTTGACTGTCACACAGGCTGGCCTCAAACTCACAGCAATCTTCCTGCCTCAGCCTCCTGAGTTCCAGGATTACAAGTGCCACCATATCCCCAGCCCTTTCTTTTAGCTATTGAATTCATTGTGTATCTTCAGTCTTTTTACTTTTAATTTATGTGTATATTTATCCTTAAAGTGGGTTTGTGTTATGTAGCTGATAGCTGGGTCTTACTATTTTATCTGATTTTTGGTGATCTGAATCTTTTATTTGGTATAATATGTTTAGTATAATTATTGATACAGTTACATTAACTTACTGTCTTGATCTTTGTTGTTTATATCTCATCCTTATTCCTTACCAGATTCCTATGGGTTAATAGAATATGTTAAAATGATTTTGTTTGTCCTATAGTACAAGGCTATAGTACAAGACTCTGATGAAAATGTATTTCAGCCTCCTGTCGTTTGTACTATGGTGTCATTTATTTATTTTTGTGTTAAACATTCCATGACACATTGTATTCTTTGTTTTAAATAATAACCTTTTCTGGGATTTGTGTGTGCGTGTTTATCTGCCTGTCTGGTTGTCTGGTTGTGTGCTTCTAGAGGTTGAAGCCAAGGTCTTACTCATATTATGTAAATGCTGTAGCACTGAGCTACCCTAATCCAAATAATTACCTGTTAAAAAAGTCAAAAATGGCCAGGCACAGTGGTATGCGTCTGTAATCGTAGCACTCTTTAAGAAGCTGAGGCAGGAGGAAGACAAGTTTGAGCCCAGCCTAGGCAACTGAGTAACTTAGCAAAAACCTGTCTCAAAGAATTAAAAAAAAAAAAAAATTAAAGGGGGTGAGGATGTAGCTCATACAGAGGCCCCTGAGTCAGTCCCCAGTATTGGGAAGCAAAACAGAAGAACAAAACAAAGAAATACCAGTGGAACTGTACTTTATTATAAAGAAAAATCAATTCTAGCCAAAACAAAAACCTTAAAAGCTGTTAGTAGAAATTATTGGTGAATAGCTTTTAGATTCTGGTGATAGAACAGTGTCTCAAGATATAAAGATATAAAAATATTACTTATAAAATAGTTTGGTAAGTTGGACTGTGGAGTTTTTTTAAAATTTCAAAGAGCTTTAAAGTGAAACCATTAGTGACATATGGGAGATCATACATCGTGCACAAATAAAACAATTAAGGCAAAAACATCAGAGACTAGGTATGATATATGTGCCTATAATCTCAGGTATTCAGGAAGTTAGGCAGGAGAATTGCTTGGGCCAGGAGTTTTGGTTTAACCTTGGCAACATAACAAGGCCTTATTACAGTAAAACAGAACCTATCAAAAACCCTTCAAATCCATGAAAAAAATATAAAAATTCAATATAACAGTAAATGAAAAAAAAGAATAGCCGTGGATTTACCTTAGTGGCACAAGTGCCTGCCTGGCAAATGCAAGGTTATAAGATTGTCCCTGGTACAAAAAAAAAAGTTTACGCAAAAAAGACGTATGATGAAAAGTTACGAAAAAGACACATGATCAATGAATATGCAAAGAGGTATTCAGGCCAAGAATTTAGCTCAGCAGTGTAAGTGCCTGCCTGGCAAGTATGAGGTTGTGAGTTTGATCCCCGGTACCAAAAATAAAAAAAGGTGTTCAGCCTCATTAGTAATTAGAGAAGTGTACAATTAGGACTACTCAGAAATCTTTTCACATTTATTCCATTGGCAAAAATGAAAAGAATGTTTTTATATATTACTGAAAAGACTATAAATTGGTGCAACCACTCTAACTTATAGTTTGGCATTAAGCCTGAATATGCATGTTTTAAATCCTATAGTTTGACTTTCAGGTATGCACTCAGGAGAATCCCATGCATGTGTAGCAGTAGATATGTTATAGATGTTTATAACAGAATAGTTCATAATGCATAGCTAAAACCCAGACACAACCCAAATGGCGCTAGTGAGAGAACAGATTAAAAACAATAACAGACATGTAAACCACAAGATGCTATATACAATAGACTACATGACAATATATAGCTTTGTAAGACTGATGTACTGTTAAGTATAAAAAATAAATCACAAAAAGCTTCTTCGCATGTCCCTTTAGTTTTATACAATTAAAATAAAAATTCAAAGGTTGCATATAAACACTACAAAACAATAGTCATAAAAGGAAAAGTAGCTAGGTATTGTGACATGTGATCATTTTCCCAGCTACTGGAGACTAAAGCACAAAGATTGCTTGAAGCCAGCCACAGTGAGACCCTATCTCAAGACAAAAAGAAACAAAAGAGAATCATGAACATGACTAATATAACTTTTTGGGTCAAGTAAGCAGGAAGATAGAATGGAAGCAGAGACTATTAGATTTGAATTAAATTATTATCAAGGTGTTAACTTTTAATAGACCTCTTTGGTAATTGACGTTGGAATGTGTTTGAATCACGCATACATACGTGTCACACTACTGTTATAATCAGTTGTAGGTTTTCATCGTCCATATTTGGTTGCTCATTCGCTCACCATATTATCACATTAACTTTGAAAAACTTGTAGCTTTCTGAAAATAAAATCCACCCTTAAAAACTGACACTGTAATTATCTTCAAAGATATATGAAAGTGTGTTGGAAGTAATTTTATTAGGAGAAATAAGATTATGCCATCCTTTTGAAAGGAGTGGTCCTCTTTTGTACATACAACTTTTTGGCATGTGTGTTAAAAGTATGTTTTATTTTAAAGTGATCTTGAACATAGTCTCCGTTAAATGAATATCCATCTGAGCCTGACTTCAGGTGATTCTGTGATTTGATTTGTATTAAGGAGACTTTTTTTGTTATTCTCTCTCATCAGGTATACAATGTTTACATGGCAGGGAGGCAGCTGTGTTCTAAGCGGTACCGAGAGTTTGCTATCCTACACCAGAACCTAAAGAGAGAGTTTGCCAACTTTACATTTCCTCGACTTCCAGGAAAGTGGCCATTCTCATTATCAGAACAACAGTTAGATGCTCGACGTCGGGGGTTAGAAGAATATCTAGAAAGAGGTAAGCCAGCCCATTAAACTCTCCAGTCCTGTGTAAGCATACATACCAGACATATAGTGTGACTCCTAAACTGCATAGCTGTGTTTCCTAAAACACAGTAATAAAAGTAAGTCGCATTTCTGACTGTAAGCATTAAATGAGTTGAACTTTGAGGACCAGACTGAAATGTCTAAGTGTAGTGATTAGTATCTTGTTTTATTGACCACTGAACAATGGAAAAATAAATAGTTTTGATGCTTTTACATTGTCTGCCAGCTAACAAATACAAGCAGATGTACCTATATACAAAAATTGATTTGGGAACTAATTGAGTACTATTTAAGATATTTTCATTAAAATGATTCTTGACTCATCAACATATCCTTCAGGAAAACTCCTTATTCTTTTTGCAAGTATTCATAGAAAAAAAGTATTCATAGATATCTAGGTTTGCTGAGTTATAGGTAATGTCTTGTTGTTTTAAGTAGACTTTAGGTAAAACAGTTCACAGGTAAAACAGTTACCTGTTACCACAGAACTTCCAAGTGATACACTAGAAACTCATGTTTACAGATGTTGCAGCATTTTTCTCTAGAAAGGCAGAGAAATGACAGCAGTCTCCTAAATATGACAGTTCATCTTAGAGTTCGGAAAAAAGATCTTGCCTTGCTGTATTACGGAGTTAAATAACTTACTAGGTATGGAATAGGTTTTTCTTTAAAATGTTAGTTTAATAGAATAATGTTTTATGTGCTGTTTAGAAGTTTTGTGTCCTTATGTCCTGTATAAGAAATAATTAACCTAGTGGAAATTTTAAAAATTTTTATAGGGAGCTTTGTCCCTGAAAAAGAATCATTTCCTGCATAGAAGGTAGTGGGACTCTTTATTTGTTTTTAGCTTTTCCTAACATGGATTGGCCTGTGAATGCAACCTTAGAGAAATGTGGAAGGGTATAGTTTTTTTTTTTTTTCCAATCAAATGAAGTAAAATCATCAGTGTAATTTACCATTCTCATGGGAGTATCTGGAAATTAACTTTCTTAGATTTAGACAATTAGCCACCTATCTGCTTTCTATCTTCTCTCTCTTGCTCACTGTTGTTAAAATCAGTGTAATGACATGATATGAAGTAAGCTGAAATCAGTGAAGTAACATGATTTGCTCAGTTTCATACTTAGTTACTTACTCATTTTTTTCCCACAGTGGTTTTATAAGTTTATTGTTTTCTGACATAATAGATACCTTTCCTTTTATGTTACAATTTTATACTTGGTTTATTCTTATTTGACCTTTTCTTTCTACTGCCTCTTTCCCTCTGTGATCTGTTGTTTTGGCTTGTTTAAAGGTCACCTAAGACTATGAAGGTAGATTTACTATATTTTTATTTTCATTGTCTGGATATGTTTAATAATTTTATATTTCCTATTCCTTCTGGATCATATTTAGATGAATGTTCATTATACCTTAAAATCTTGGCGGAGATTTGGAGATGACAATGTGCAATGTATGTACCATTGTTGCCCCCTGATTGATGTGTTTTGAAATTTTGTTGTAGTTTTTTTTTTTCTCCTTTTTTTAATCCTTGAAATAAAATGGATTTGGAAAAAAATACAAAAAAATTTGCCAGATGTGGTGACACGCCTGTAATTCCAGTACTTGGGAGGCTAAAACAGGAAGATCACTGTGAGTTTGAGGCTGAACTGGGCCACATAGTGAGTTCAAGGCCAGCTGAACTGCAGAAAGGGACAGTGTCCCAAAAAGCCATAAAAAGGGCAAGGGATATAGTTCAGTGGTACAGTGCCTGCCTTGTAAGCACAAGGTCCTGAGTTCAGTTCCCAATACAAAGAAAAAAAAACCATAAAAGTTTAAAAACTTCATCTGGCAGGAGTGGATGTTGCCTGCTACTGGTGATTTAAATTTAGGCTGTGATGTGTTCTCGACTTTGTATTCTTGATTACAAACATAGGACTCTATGCCAGATTCTGTCTTTGTTTTCCAGTTTGTTCAATACGAGTCATTGGTGAGAGTGACATCATGCAGGAATTCCTGTCAGAATCAGATGAGGTAGGTGAATACTCCCTTTAGTAACTATTTTCCTCTTCAGTCCTTGTGGGGGAGAATAAATTAAAGATACTGATTATGTGTGGGTTGCAATAAACTATTTCTTCTACTTTGTTTTTGTATGTATCCTGCTTACTATCCTTTAAGAGCACCAGAACCACCTTCTCTGTGCAGCTTTCCATGATGATTCAAGTCATCAATTTTTCATTCCACTAAGAACTTCCACAGTCAGTACCACTCTATTATCACCTTATTGCTGTCTCATTCTCTTATCTTATACATATGCTGCAGTATGTTTGTTACTTTGTATTTTTAGCTAAGTCTTGATCATCTTTATATTTCTAGTGCCCTACAACAATATTAAATATGTTGTAGGTGCCTAAAAAGTGTTAACTAAATATGTCTTGTTTTCTCAACTTTATATTATAAGTTTTCAGACTAGGGCTTATAATAAAAATATAGTATTCTTTAGTTTCTCTAGTTTCTTTTTCTTTCTTTTTTTTTTTTTTTGTCTTTTTGAGACAGGGTCTCACTATGCAGTTCAGGCTGGCTTTGAGCTCACTTTGTAGCCCAGGCTGGTCTAGAACTCGCAATGATCCTCCTGCCTCAGCCTCCTGAGTGCTGGGATTACAGGCGTGAGCCACCAGGCCCGGCAGTTTAGTTTCAATTACCTGTGGTCTACCATGGCCTGAAAATATTAAATTTAAAATTCCAGAAATAAATAATTCATGAGTTTTAAATTGTATGCCACTCTGTGTAGTGTAATAAAGTATCATACAATCCTTCACAGTTACATTAATAATCCAAATCCAGTATACTTATTCCATATGTCACCTACTTGTTAGTCACTTAATAGCCAGGTCAGTTATCAGATTGATTGCTCAGTGCTTATACTCAAGTAACCTTTATTTTACTTAGAAATGTTTTCAAGGACAAGAGTAGTGATGCTAGCAGTACATATATACCCAAGAGGAGGCTCTTTTAGTAGGAGGGTGTGTCCTTTAGGTTCAAAAGGTAAAAGTTGTCAGTAATAAGATTACGGGCATGGTGGCAAACATCTCTAATCCCAGCATGAGTTTGAGCCCAGCCTAGGCAACTTAGTGAGACCCTCTCTCAAAATTAAAAAAAAAAAAATTATATACTGAGGCTGCTGAGATTGGTAAGATTTGTGTTAAGAATGTGTCACCTCTCCATGAAAAGAAAAATAAGTTCTTGCTAGTTTTCTGTCATACTCCAGACTACAAAAGTTATAGCCACAGTGGGTGATGAAGTGTTCAGTGAGGATGGAAAGAGCAGTAAGTGAAAGGATTCAGGACTATCCATCCCTGGTTTCTGGCACCCACTCAGCCTTTGACAATATTCCCAGTGGATAAAGAGACTACTGTGATACTCAGGGTGGTTTTAGGCAATGAGTAATACATTTTCCAAGTATTATTTTATATAAATGGACTTATTCCTAAGTAGTTATTTTTCTCTAAAAAAAGTTACAAGGCCAAAAATCTGTTAAGAGAAATGCATTAAATAAGAGTTTTTATTTCGCTTTGTTCTCCTAGTTTTGGGAATTGTACCCAGGCTTCACACATGCTCCACAAGTTCTCTGCCACTGAACCACACCTCTAGCCCTCAGTATTTCTTTAAAACTGAATGAGTTGTTTACTCTTTGGTAGAAAATTGGCTGTCGTACTAATTCATGTCCCTGAGCCTTACTCAGTTTCCCTTCAGTAATGTCCTGATTAGATACCCTTGAGCCAGGATACACATCTTAACAGCTGAAACCAAAGAATATTTGTTGGAGTTACTGTTTTCACTTGTTTCCTCACTTGTAAGTTCTGAATCGGGTGATGGAAGTAAACCCAAGATTTCATCTGTGTTTGACCTAGACTGCGTCACACAGTTTTCTGTGTTGAAATGTGAACACATTGGCTTTCAATGTTTCCTTTTTGCCCTGTGCATCTTAATAGTTAACTTCTAATGCAGCCTATAGTTAGCTTTATGACTTGTAAATATATTAACTTTTAATGTGTCATTTCCTTCCTTTTTGTTGGAACTACCTTCCTCTCCATAATGTGTTTGGATTACTGTTTAGTAGCGTTTGTGAAGTAGAGTGAGGAAGTACTGGGTCATAAATTTTTCTCTGTATCTTTTTTCCAGAACTACAATGGCGTATCTGATGTAGAGCTGAGAGTAGCATCACCAGATGGAACAACAGTTACGGTCAGAGTGAAAAAGAACAGTACTACAGATCAAGTATATCAGGTAAATTAAACTTGAACAAGTTAATTTCAACTTGGATGGTATGAAGCTAAGAAAGATGAAATGAGCTAATACATAAAAAGTGCTTACTGTATCTAGCACCTAATATATTTATTAAATTGTTATTGTCAAAGTACTCTGTCCTCCTTAAAAGGTATAATAAGTACTTGAGTAGAGTGGTTGTAATTAACTGTACCTTTTTATTGTAGAAAATGTTAATAACATATGTAAAATCAGAATAGTACAGTGAATCTCCAGATACTCTGTGTGTGTGTGTGTGTGTGTGTGTGTGTGTGTGTGTGTGTGTGTGTGGTGCTAGGGCTTGTACTCAAAGCCTTATATGTGCTAGGCAAGTGCTCTACCATGGAGCTACATCCTCAACACTCATTAATTACATTTAATACTAAGATATTGCCACATTTGTACCATGTATCCTTTTTTAAGTCTTTTAAACAAAACCCATGTTATGAAGACCTATCTATACTTTAGTATGCATCTAAAAGCTATCAGTGTTGTTACATAACTGCAATGCCATTATCAAACCTAAAAAATAGCACTATATTCTTGGTATTAAGTAACAACTACCCATAGTCAAATTTTTCCAGTTATTTAAAAGTAATTTTTTTACATTTGGTTAAAAACTCATATGTAAACAAGATTTATATCACATTTTGTTTTTATATTTATTTTAATATAGAATAATCCCCCTTCCCAATCTCCCCCCCCCCTCCCCGGTGCTATCATTTTGTTACTAAATTTGTGTCTGTGCCCTATAGAATGAATCTGTTTATTTGTTTTGTCATAGTGTCATTTAATATGTTCTTATCAATTTGTTTGTTCTTTGGTTTTGGGGGGGTTTTTTGGGTCTTTTTGAGATAGGGTCTCACCACGTAGTTCTGGCAGGCCTTGAACTCACTTCACATTATACCTCAGGCTGGATTCGAACTTGCAGCAGTCGTCCTGCTTTAGCATCCTGAGTGTTGAGATTACAGGCATGTGCCACCATGCCTGGCTCTGGTTTTTTTTTTTTTTTTTTTTTTTTTTTTTTTTGAGACAGGGTCTTGTTATATAGTCCAGACTGGCCTTGAACTCACAGTATAGTCCATGCTGGCTTCCACCTCGTGGCTGTCCTCCTGCCTCAGCCTCCCAAGTGCTGAGATTACAGCCAGGCATGCTCATCTCCAACTCCCTATATTTTCCATAAATGGAAATTTGCTCTAGAGGGTTGATTAGATTTAGAGTCTTCTTTTTTGACATAAGTACTTCATAATAGGTAGTTTATGCATAATATTCCTTCTCCACAGGTAGAATGCAGTATCTAGTTAGTCCATGTTTAGTAGCAACAAGATTAATCAGTAGGTGTGACCTTTATATAAAGTTTCCCATTGATTTTATTTATTTATTTATTTATTTTGGTCTTTTTTGTTTGTATCGGTACCAGGGATCGAACTCACGACTGCCTGCTTGGAAGGCAGGTGCTTATGCCGCTGAGCTAGGTCCCCAGCCCTGCCATTGATCTTTTATCAAATGAGTATATCTATTGATGATTGTCATCTTACCAAGTAATTTCATAAAAATTGCAAAGTGCTGATTTTCTAATAGTATTTTCTGAAAATAACTTTTTCTTATAAGCTAAGTTTAATTAGTTATCCTGAAATATAGTTTGTGGAAAAAAGGATAAATATTTTCCTTTCATTTTACCAGTTTTCAGAGTAAAGAGTACCTCACTTGATTCCAGTGATGTCTATTGTTGTATTTTACTTTGTAGTACCATGTTTTTAAATTAAATGATTTTTATCAGCTTTATAAAAATTAAATATGGTTTAGACAATAGCATATATTATTCTGATATTCTTACCTCTTGACATTAAAAGCTTAGTCATATCTGTTCTTGTACACTTTTAATGCTGTCCTTTAGTTTATGGCAGCATCTTTGCCATTTGCTGTGACAGAATGTCTTGGGCTCACCTTTATACATTTCTTACCATAGATCTAGAATAAGCCATTTATGTAAGGAAACCTGATTCCTGTTAGTAAGAAATCATATTTAATATATTCCCACTGGTTTGAATCATCAGTGGTACATAAATGACTGTCTCAGCAGGCAGCTTGCACCACGTGTGTTATTAATGGACCTGATCACTTTTACCACTCTTTCGAGTAATAAAATTAATTTAAAAACCACCTGGTAGGGGGCTGGAGATTTAGCTCAGCGGCATAAGTGCCTGCCTTGCAAGCAGGCAGTCGTGAGTTTGATCCCCGGTACCGATAAAAAGGAAAAAGACCAAAAAAAAAAAAAAAAAAAAAAAACCACCTGGTAAGACAGTCATGCATGTACCACCAGTGGGTTCAACCTGCCTGGCAGTGAAACATACAAATTACAGCCCTGTTGTGAGTGTGATGAAAATCATCATCTGAGTGCTGTGGCATAAGCATTGTTTGTAGATGGGCCTTTTCATGTGCCTTCATTTCTAATTTGACCAAGGTTTTTGAAGAGACAAGAAGGTTTCTAGATGTCAATTCTTATATCTCCTTTGTTTTTTTTATAGCAAACAAAAAAAATCTGTCCCTCATACATTGCCAAATACTGTGACAAAAGATATTGTAGGATATGAAGCATTTTTGAAATTATTCAGTAAGAGCCAAGCAGGGTTTCCCAAACCTCTAATCCCAGCCCTTGCAAAGCTGGGGCAGGAGGATCACTGTGAGTTCAAAGCAGCCTGGGCTACATAAGTAAGTTCAAGGTAGGTCTGCAGTACACAGTAAGACTCTGCCTCAAAGAAACAGCAACAAAAAAGGAATTGTACAATGAGATTGTAACTATAAAAAAAAAAAAAGTATTTTTACAGCTTGTTGATTTTTTTTTTTTTTTTTTTCCGGTGAGGTGTAATGTGCTTTTTCTTTCATACTTTGCCTCGCTCCTGTTACTGAGACTTCTAGCTAGAAACCATTTTTTAAACCTTTTTTATTCGGTTCCATTTTTTAAATCTTGAGAACATTTCACTTCCTATCCAGTACAATGTAGAATGGTAATTTAGAACACTTAAAATTTCCAGCTCCTACATCATACCAGCAATGAACCTAGGCTTGATAAGTGAGATGTGGGAAGGATATAGTCATATTTAGTTCATGAAGTACTACTGTGCAGAAGTATTATCTTGTTTAATATTAGGATTGATCTTGAAAAGGGATTTTGTTACTATTGTTTATGTTATGTTGCACATAACAAAACATAGTACTTTAGTTCCTACAGACAAGAACTGATCCTTGTTTAATATGTCTCTTGTCAACAATATTTTTGATATTTTCATATGGATATTGATGATGGTAGTCTTTAGGAAACGCAAGTGTCTAGTGTCCCTGGCTTGAAACAGATCATCTGAAAAACAGAATATTTTTGGACCAGTTACACTCCTGTAATCCCAGCTACTGGAGGGGCTAAGGCTGAAGGAGCACAGATTTTAGCCTGGTCTAAGCCACTCGGTAGGATCAACCCTCAACAAAAAGTATAAAAAGGGGTAGGGATTTATCTCAGTGGTAGAGCACTCCTGGGTTCAATTCCCTATGCTTTAAAAAAAAAAAAAAAAAAAAAAAAAACCTGGAAAGAAGTTAAACAATATTTTAAACTGAGTGATCTGGCTGGCACTGAGCTTCATGCCAGCAGTGCCAGCTACTTGAAAGGAGAAGGTAGGAGAATCACTTGAGGCCAGAAGTAGCCTGCAAAACATAGGGAGTTCCCATCTCTTTTTAAAAAGAAATAAAATGAAAAATGTAGACATTCTCCATTGATGTCTTGTTTTTGATGTCTTGTATAAATGTAGGCTGTGTGAAAATGAATATTTAAAAATTGGTTTTTTAAAGATTTATCCTATTGTTATCAAGTACATTTCTTATAAGTGGTGTTAAAGAAAGAGCTTTGTGAAGCGAAGTAGTATTTCAGAGAGGAAAGCTGATCTTAAAGAGAAACTATTATTGGGGCTGGGGATTTAGCTCAGCGGCATAAGTACCTGCCTTGCAAGCAGGTGGTCGTGAGTTCGATCCCCGGTACCAGAAAAAAAGAAAAAAAAAAAGAGAGAAACTATTATTATTATTACTAGGGAGAAACTCAAATATGAGCTGTGTGAGTCAAAAGCAGGTGTCTTTCTCCCTTTTTTTCATACATGTTATACATATGTGCATGCACCCTAAAGAAAGATAGCCATGGGACAGGAGTGTAGCTTAGTAGTAGAACACTTGCCCAGCATGTGCAATGCCCTGGGACTTGAGCCCTAGCACCAGTGAGTGAATGAAAGAATGAATAAGACAGAGATGACCCATAATAGTTTTTATGAACTGAGGTGGCAGACCTTTCCCCTTTGCCCTCTCCCTCATGCATATACCCGTTTCCCGACAGCATTGTCTGACTTAGTTTTCCTAAATCATTCAATCCTGTTTGAACTTTAGGCTATTGCAGCAAAGGTTGGCATGGACAGTACAACAGTGAATTACTTTGCCTTATTTGAAGTGATCAATCATTCTTTTGGTAAGTGCTAATGGCTAATATTGAGTTTGGGGAGTATTTTATTCTAATACCATTAGACAAAAACTTTTCCCAGATAAGAATTTGAAGACAGAGGAAGATCCCACTAAGCAAATCCTGCTAAGCCTGATCATAAGGATTCCTGATCACTGTGGTTTGTTTTTCTTCTTTTGTTAGCACCTATAGATTACATCCAATACTGAATCTGATATTTGCATGTGGTACTTTTAAATCAGAGATTCAAAATTTATAATTTCCAGTAAAACAGCTTTAAATGGGGATGTTCTATTTAGCCACTTAGTTGGAGATTCCTTCATGCTTTCTGTAAAGATTTTTAAGACTAGCCTTTTGGTTTTAGAAGTTAGAAAGAGATACTTTATATGGGTGAAAAGCCTTTGTCTTAATGTGGATGTTTAAACTTCTGTGTGAAAATTTCCTTTTCCTAAAAAATTTTATTACATGGCAACAGGAAATTTCTATAAAAACTGGAGATGGTAGTCACAAGAGAGGAAGTCTGAGGGCTTACTCTGATGACATGGATTTTTTATAATTTATGAGTCTTTTCTACCTCATGTGTACACAAGCCTATGATCAGAAATGACATAGATAATATTGATCAGAGCTTCTTCATCCCAAGAGGAGAGTTTGGTGAATTTCAGTTGTCTTGCCATCCCAGGTCTAGAAACAGAAACTTTGATTCCCCTGAAACAGCCATCTCTTTTATCATATTTTTCTTCCCAACTCTTAAAAGCCTAACTAGTCAGATATAAATTATATTAGAAAGGATTGCTAGGGTACTAAGATACTTGAGTTCTATGCTTACATTTTTCTAAGCTTTAGCTTCACTTTCTATAAAATGGAGAATTATTAAATATGTCTTTCTCAGTGTTATAAAGCCAAGTATGTGTTAAGAGAAAATACACATACTTGGAAAGATAAGAGAAAATAAAAGAAATGGTGATTTATCCTGTTGTATATGGTTAGGAAGAGGTATCCTTATGCTGAAGACAGTTTTCATTTTGATGAATGCCTGAGGCTTTAGGGATAGAGTAGGAAGAGCCTTTCAGTTCTTAATAAAAGCAGTCTGTTAATGCCCATAGCCAGGTAAAAGCGGAGACTTTTGCTGAAGAGTAGATATCAGCTGTAACTTATCAGATAATGGTTGATAATTTCAAACTGAATTTGGAGTTGGTGCTATCTGCAGTCATCATGGTAACTGAAGGTCTTGCCTTTCAAATGATTTCAGACAGTTGGAGGTTGAACTGGCCGTAGTCATAGTTAGAAGGGATAAACTTAGCTAAACCTGAGTATTTTGTGTTCCAAGGACAAGAGCTTCTTGATGAATTTGAGCTGTGCTCTGTTTAATGAAAACCTACCATATTTGGTCTGCCTTCAATAGTTTATATTAGGGAAATTCTGTGTATATTTTTTTCACTACAACTTTTTTTTTGGTCTTTTTTTTAGTACGTAAGCTGGCACCTAATGAATTTCCTCATAAACTCTATGTCCAGAATTACACATCAGCTGTGCCAGGCACCTGCCTGACCATTCGAAAGTGGCTTTTTACAACAGAAGAAGAAATCCTCTTAAATGACAATGACCTTGCCGTTACCTACTTCTTTCATCAGGTGGGTGAACTGATCTTCCTAGGAGACAGGTTTCTTTTTCTGTTCGTGTGTAGTTGGTAATTTCCCAATTTATCGTGAATCCTTGGATAAGCCACTGTACTTCTGTGTCTGAGTTAAATTTGTAAAATATTCTATCCTATTTTGCAAAAGATAAATAAGTTAGAAGTGAAGATATTCTGGAATTTAAACAGTTAGTGATTTTTTTAAGACAAGAAAAATGAGCATTGTGAGTGTATACCTGTTCAAAAATTTTTCATCAATATTATATATATTGTGTGTCTGGGGAAAACAAATCATCTATTTTCCTCTGCTCTGATCCATAATCAACCAGAAGACTTAATGTGACCTCAAAAGATGTGAGGATTTCTCCCAGTCGGCACACAAACAATTCTGCAGTAGATACCATCTGACCATCATCAGATTTAATTCAGCTCTGATACTATCAGTGGCAATATCGGATCCCACAGTCAATGCTCAGTCTCCAAGACTACCCCCATTTTAGATCCGGTTACAATACCAGGCCTCTATAATTTTTTTTTTTTTTTTTGCCTTTAAAATTTTAGACCAACTGACCACAGGTTTTATTAATTTGTTAGAACAACTCATAGAACTTATGGAAACACTTTACTTAGCATATAATGGTTTGTTTATTTTTTTCTTCTTTTTCTTTTTATCCTTGAAATAAAATAGATTTGGAAAAAAAAATAGTAGTTCATTTTGAAAGATACTTTACAGGGTAGAAATAAAAAATGCAGAAATTAGAGTTAGGCCTGGAAAGCAGGAGTGTCCACATTCAGAGACAGTGTTTACCATTCTTTTGGCACATGGAGAGTTCTTACTTTCTGTGAGCTACATGTGTCTGCAGTCCATGAACTCCAGGATTTTATCCTTGTGAGTTTTTTATGGAAACTTTTCACTGCACAGACATAATAAAAGTATAAACAATCAGGTTGACATATAATGGGACAAGAAGGATGTGGTCTAATGTTGATACAGTAATGATAACAAGCAAGATCTTTCTATCCAAGTTCTTCTTGGCTTCTCTCTGCAGCATTCCTTTATAAGCATGGGAAAGACCTCTTTTGATATGAGGGCCTTATCAGAGGATGTCTTCATGGTCATTCTAATACAGGAAGATGGGAAGATTAGTCTATTTTAATTTCTGCAACTTGCCTTAGGGAAGAGAAATTGTTGTTTCTGTGACCTGCCTTATGTTCATATAAGGGGCTTTCTTAACAATTGTCTGCTCGGGTTGAATATTGGGAAAGCAGCATAGCTGATGAGTTCAGCTTATGAGTGTTTCATGGTGACTGTGGACTTCACTGTAGAGAAACTACAGCTCTAGTGTTTAGCTGGCATTGGAGAGCACAGTCACATGGCTGCAGGAAATAATGGAGAGGATCAGGTAATTTAAATAGGCTTTCAGTCCTCTTTTTATTAGCCACAGCCACTGCCTCACCTAGGTGACCACCTAGTGCTAATTCCTGAGCCTTTGGGAAATTTGTTGAAGGGATTCTCCATTTTGTCTTTTACCAGTGTAAAAATTCATTTCTTTTCCAGCTTTTCTATATTACTGCTCCTATATAATGTGTTCCAGATTACAGCATTTTGATCTGATCTACCCCTCGCTGATTCTTGCTGTTATTTTGGGTTTATGCTTTTAAAAAAAATTCCTTGGATTGGGCATGTAGTTCAATGCTACAGTAGTTATTTATCTAACTTACCTGTGGCCTGGGGTTTGATCTCCAGCAATACACGCACACATACACACATGCACTTATTTATTTTAATAAAATTTTAAGATGCAGTAGGAGAGAGATACTTGTTTTGCATTTGCCATCTTTACCTGGAAATCTTCTTTTGTGAAATAGTTCTGTAAGTATTTACACTTCATATTTGACATTAGGTATTTGTATTTTTTTTTTTTATCGGTACCAGGGGTTGAACTCACGACTGTGCGCTTGCAAGGCAGGCACTTATGCCACTGAGCTAAATTCCCAGCCCCTAGATATTTGTATGGATGTGTAATTTTTACAGTTATCCTAATGTAGATAAAAATTTTCCTTTTTCACATACCTATATTCTTTTATATGTCATTCATAAATGAATTAATGTACTATCTGTTAATTATTCCTTCTTACTACTTCTGAGCTATTTTTGAATGCAGGATTATAAATAATGCTACCATAATCTTTTTTAGTATCACTTTGTGTGTGTGTGTGTTTGATTTTTTTGTAGTGCTTTTGTGTGTGTGTTTGGTTTTTTTTGTAGGGATTGAATTCAGAATCCTTACATGTTAGGTAAGCAATCTGCTCCTGAGCTACCACTCTTTGCTATTTTCCTTTTAAGAAGCTACTGTTGCTCATTCCTTCAGTGTGGTACTAGATGTTGAACCCAGAACCTCACACGTGTTAGGAAGGCATTCTACTACTGAGCTATATCCCCAGCACTTCTGGTTTTGTTGTTGTTATTGTTGTTGTTTTTTAGACAGGATCTCACTATGTAGCTAAGGCTGGGCTTGAATTTGTAATCCTCCTGCCTTAGCCTTCCGTTAGGATTATAGATTTAAAAATCTGTCATTTTTGCAGATATTTCATCTATTCCATTTATTTTCCTTTTATATATTACTATTATTTTATTTTATTTCTTTAAGGCAGAGTCACACTGTGTAGTGCAGGCTGACCTTGAATTCCCTTATGTAACCTAGGCTAGCCTTAAACTCACAGGAGTTCCCCTGCCTCAGCCATCCGAGTGCTGGAATTACAGGTGTGTGCCTGGCTAGTATTACTGATTTTTGTTTAAAGAGATTGTAACATTTCATATAATGTTTATCTTTTGTAATTTCTGTTACTGAATTGAGTACATTTTCATGCTTTAATATTAAATGTAAATATACTACTTTTTTGTAGTACTAGGGATTGAATCCTATTCTTTTAAAATTCCCAATATTTTATTATTTTGTTTTCATTTTTTAAAAGTTCACTTTAATTTTTTTTTTTTAGTACTGGAATCAAACTCATGACTTTATGCTTGCCAGGCAGGCGCTTATGCCGCTAAGTTAAATCTGTGGCCCTAATTTTTTTCTTTCCTGAGATGGGCTCTCATTATATTGCCAAAACTGGTCTCCAGTATTTTTTTATTTTTATTTTCATTTTATTTTATTTTATTTTTGGTACCAGGGATCAAACTCACGACCTCGCGCTTGCCAGGCGGGCGCTTATGCCACTGAGCTAAATCCCTGGTGCAGTATTTTATTTTTAATATTTAATGCTTGAAAACTGTGAGCTTGATCTTTTACAAAAGTCAAGGAGACTGCTGGATTGAGGTAGAGAGTCGAGGGCAAGGGGGCAATGCTGAAGATACCTTCTGAACGTGTATTTTCTTCCCACAATGACCATCATTGTTAGGAACTGCAAGCATGTACTAAGAGACGCAATAGTCAAAAGAAGAATTCTTTGCTGGAGAGGGACTGGCCTAGTGCAATGACCTGGCTTATGAGTCTTGTCAACTGGCTTGCTGTAAACCACAGCACCTGGCTTCCTGTGCACCTATCCAGTGATGACAAAGACTTTTGGAACCAATACAATGGAATTTCTAGTTTCAGAAAAAAAAAAAAAAAAATTGAATGCTTTAGAGGCCCAGCTACAAGGAAGCAGGTGAGAAGCCAAGTTGTAGAGTCTGGGCCAGAGCTCAGGGGCCAGGCTTTCCCTCCCCTTTGCTGCCAGAGCAGTACCCAGCGTGGGTGCCACAGAACAGCAGAGACTAGAAGCATGGTGGGGTGGGGTGGGGGGTTCGCAGAGGCGTGAACAGAGTGGCCAGATGATGTGGGCCCCTGTACTTTTCCAGAGGAAAGGGACCACCAGAGCAGCTGTGATCCCACATTGCTCCCATGAGGCATTTTGACATCAGCCTTGGGGACATTGAGCAGCCTTGTATAGGCCTGGTTCTTTTAAATGCTCCCGCCAGGAAGGCAGTGATTTAAGGCGTTAGGCTTTCCTCATGGGAAGGGCACTGCCTGCACTTGTGAACTCAGTGCAGAGAGAGGACAGAATAATACTGTCAGAGCAAGCCCTAAAGTCATTCCTACTCTATTGCACAGGTCACAGTGCTTCACGGCAAAGATCTGAAGCCAGAAGGCAAAAGTGGCACCAGTGTATATACACTATAATTCATTTGGGCAAGAAAAAGTATCCTACCTTGTAGCTGACAAAACCCTTAAGCCAATTTGGAAGGAAGAGGCCTCCTCTGAGCCACTAGATTGCTAATGGAGGGAAATCCAGAGAAATAATTCTTGTCTTTAGTTATACACAGATCACTAGTAGGTCTGGATAAATTTCTAGGGCAGGTGGCAGTTAAGCTCAGTGACACCTTTGAGGACAAACAAAGAAGGAAAACAGTAGTTTGGATTAGAATCCAAACAAGGAAAAAGAGTCAAAAACAGGGATGCAATAAAGGTCAATATTCAGTTTATGAGGAAAAAGATGACAGCAACTATGTTTGACTTATCAAAGAAGGACAAAACAAGGTCTGCAAAATTAAAAGATAAGATGAAAGGTAGAAAAAATGGTGGGGTATTTTCTGATATGTCTTCTGCATTCATTCCAAGTACTCACATGCCTGATGCCAGCGTTGAGTTTCAAGTGGTGAAGTACAAATGAAATCCAAACTGAAAAAGCCTTTTCTTTTGGGTCCTCAGAATTTCTCTTTTGCACATTCATTGTCTGATTTAACTGAGTCCCACGCATCTTCTGAGAAACTAACGTGTGGTGCTGTAGGTGAAACACATCTTCTTGGATGCCAGATAGATTCCTTTGGAGCAGTTTCCAGAGAGTAGAAGTCTCAAATCTCCACACAGAAGGATTTTGAGCTTTTGCACTTTTAAAATGAACCAACCTGACAGCATTGTGGATGAAGGTAAATTGTCTTTTGGAAGACAAAATGACCTATTTGCAAACATGACTGCTTCATTACCCCCAAATTTGCAACATTGCCAAGAAAGG